GGGGGGGGGGGGCATGGCAGGGAAGCGCTAGCCGGCTCCCGAAGCTTCGGTGCCTCCATCAGCTCTGCTGAGAGCGGGGCCAGGGTCACGGGGCCACCCATCAACTTGCTGAGCCCAGCTTTCCTGGGTATCGCTGCCATTGTGGGCAGCCCTCCAGCTGCCTTCCCCACTGCACTGCAGGGCCTGGCAGCAAACAGGAGAGAGCTCCTCGCTGCAGAGGAGGGGATTTTTAGAAAGGAGGAACAATCAGGCTGGCCCCGATACTCCCAGGGCAGCGCTGATGGGCTCCTGACTGGGGTATTCAGACAGACCTGAAAAGGGCACAGGGAAAATCCTGGGCAGATAAACCTGCACAGCCCATAGGGTTTGGGAAGAGACCCCAGGAACAGCTCCGCACTGAGTGGCACCTCCACAGTAAACATGAGGTGGAAGGGCTTATCACAGCGCTGCAGCCACCCAGGGAAACAGGCTGCTGAGCATCTCGTGCCAGGGTTACATCCCCTCTGCAGAGCCAGCGCTCCTCCCACGGGACAGCGGGCCCCGCTGCCAAAACGGGCATCTGCCTGCATGCTCCTGGGGACACGCTCAGCCCCAGAGCTTGGGGCAGCGGGAGGAGGATGGCTCTGGGACAGTTTTCAGCTCAGGGAGTTTCTGGGGAAGACGCTTGATTCCCCATGAACTCCCTATGGGTTTCACCCAGGATAGCTAGAGACAGGGGGGGAACAGAGACAAGAGGGTCAGGCTCCTCGCAGCTCTCAGCCCCACCGTGGGTGGAACAAGTCCGTCAGGGAGATGAACAGTAAGTTACACTCTGGAGAGAAGTGGACAGGGCAGGAGAAAGGGTTTTCAAGCCACATTAAACAAACAAGCCCTACATGGGAATGGGGCATGCCCAACCCCTCAACCCCAGAAACCGGACGATCACGGCCCTTCACCACGTGTCTCTAGCAGAGGGTAAAGGGGACAACCCTCCTCTGTGGAGGCAACACAGCTCACACCCACCTCTCCAGCTAAAAAGCCTCACAAAATAAGCCAGATATTTTGCTAACACCAGCCTGCTCAGCTCGTGGGCAGCAGCAAGCTGGGCCACCCCCAGCAGCACACCCTTCCCACCCTGCACATCCACCCTCCCCAGGGCCTTCGCCTTTACCTGGGCAGCAGCTGAACCTCAGCACCTCCTCAACTTTAGAGCGCCCAGCCCCAAAACCCCAGGAGCTGCTCTCCGCCAGCAGTAACACTCGCTCACCCTCAGCTCCTCCTCTCCCGGCCGCTTCCTTCCTCTCACCTGAGCAAGGGGAGGGCCCGCGGCCAAGCAGCGCCCGGTCCCCAGCCGTGCCTCCGCTGGGCCTGTGTGGGCCCCTGGGCGGCCGGCGGGTCTGGGCGGATCTGAGGCGGCAGCGGACCCTGCGCGGGCAGCTGGGGCTCCTCACAACCAGCTCACAGGTCTCATTGCAGCCGGCTGGTTGGCTCGGGCCTCGCACCGACACAGACCCTTCCTCCCTCCTTCCTTCAGTCCACCATCCCACGAGGCCACTGCAGCCTGACCCACCAGGCAGGCATTTCCAAAACCAGTCCTTCATTTTCCAGATCAGATCTCCCCACGTTTAACCCTTCAGGGCACAAACTACACAAAGCCCCAACTCTCGGGACCCCAGGGGGGCCTGAACCCTCTGAAAAAGGAGCTCACAGAGGCCCGGTGCTCAGCTCTGGGAGAGGTCTGCCCTTTAAAAGCCCTTTGCAAAGGCTGGAGAACATCCTCACGCAGTCGTGGCTGGGCTGAGGACAGTCCCGAGCAGAAGTACCTTGCTAGGGAGCCTGTGCCAGATGCTAATCCCTCCCTCCTCCACACGGCTGTGGGGATTGCTGTAGGGCCATAGGGACTAGGGCCATGAAGACTGGGTAGGGTGATAATTGCTGTGTTGCTCACAATGCTTCTGGATGTAAGACTGTGCACCTTGCCCAGGTTTGGACTGGGAAGAACATGGAAGGTGCTGGTGTGTGGTGTTTGTAGGGGGGAAAAAGGCTTCACCAGAACCCAAGCTTTTGGGGGATTTTGAGGGATAATTTTAGCTGCCCCTCAATAAGTGCAAACTCTGAAGGATTAATTTGGGTGAGTTTATTTCATTATGCAACCTAGGACTGGGACTAGACTGGGACACCAGGACCTCTTGGGCAATCAGGGGAAGGCAGAGTTTTCTACCAGAGCAGCACTGGCTGAGACGCAACTAATGTCACCCACACTCCTGCAAAATCCCCCAAGGCTGCTGCGGTGCCCTGCCATGTGTCACAAGGAGCCTGGCCTGCCTGCTGCGGTCACCCTCAGCACCCTTGTGTGCAGGGCTGGGGGCTGCACAGACCTGTCCCCACAGGGTGGTGGCTTTCTCTCCCCTCCTCCCAGCCCCCCCCACCC